ACGCTAACTGGACTTATGTTGGAGCATCTAAGATTATAAGAAAACACTCAACTCAGTCCTCTGAAGGAGAAAAGAAAAAGAGATGGAGCATTTTCATTCTATATGTGGCTGCATAACTCAGAAAAACATTTTCCAAGGGTAACATTCTGCTGCATTTAAACCTCAGACAAAAAGTGATTTTCTGTTTTTTGTCTTGCATGTTTGCTGTTGTTTGGAAAAACTTAGGTTACTTAGGACTAAACATGAGGAAATAAAGAGGATTTTGTGAATCATGAAGTGCTATAATTACTTCACTCAAGATAATGCGTTACACATTTTTAACAAGATGGAGAAGATATGAAATTCATCTGTACTTGATTTTTAATGTTTTGGTTGAAGGATATTTTGCATTTAGGATTCGTACATCAGTAGCAGGTGACATTTTGAAATGACGCAAGATATTACAGCTTCTGACACTATCACTAACAATGGTAACATTTATGCTAATATTCACTGATAACATTGATGTATTTGCAAACATCAATGAACATTTTCATATAGTTATATGGCTACTATGTGGCAAGAGTGGATTTTACCTAAATCGTGGGTTTGCTAGTTAGGTAAAACAGTTTTAGTTTATCATAAAAAAGGGTAAAAACAACAACAACAACAACAACCTGATATAATAATTGTGTTGTATTGTTCACCCCCATATGAACATCTGGATTTTGGATTTTCATCATCTTCCAGCCATAGTCATTCAAATTACAAGCAGTAAAGGCTTGCAATATTTCACTGTATGTGTAATAAATCTATGCAATACATAAGATTTAGATTGACACAAAAGACAAAAAAAGTCATTTTATTTTTTTTTACCTGTGTATGTGCATATAAAACCAAAATACCACAACTACACTCACACACTCAACTCTGTCAGTCTGGCCTGCTTAAGGTGTATCAAAACTGAGAAACATATGAAACTTGTGGAACAGCATAAAATAAACGACTTAAGACTGAGTGAGTCGAAGTGCCTTTTATGTCATCTTTTCTCAGGGTGGTCAGCCATGACATGTTTGGTGAGAGACATTCACTTTATCTCCGTCTCACTCTATTACCCTGCCTAAACAAGTCACAGGGCAAAAAGGAAAAGGGTCCCAATTCACACATTTATGGGAAACGGTTCAGTGGATCAAAAAAGCTTTTTTTTTCCCCCCCTGCAAGACAAACTCTCCAGAGGAGGCTTCTCCCTCTAAGCATCGCTGTCGCCCTGCACATTAAACATCCCAGTGAGCGGAAATGACATAGCTTGTGGCACAAAGGCCTTTCTGTTGCAGTTTGGATTAATGAGACTCGCTAATAACCAATAAGATGCTGTTTGTGGAGCTAATGTTATCTGTGTTGCTCTGAGCTCTTTGGGAGAATGTTGTGGAGGATTCTGAGATTATTAATTACCTAAAATATCAAGGTCATTTATAGAAACCGAATCTACAAGCTGCAAGAGAGGTGAAATGATTTATAAACACAATAGAGCAGCTCCTCATAACTCGGCAGGTGAATATTGATTGATCCAGGATCAGTAGGCCAAATCATACACCACTTAGATCAAATTATTTCTCCTTTAGACTCTCAATCAAAAGTAAAATGCTGTTATTTATTGTTTTTTTAGTTATTTTTTTCTGATCCTTCTGCCTTTTGACAGAAATTGCCTATTTGCTAGTGGCCACTTGCAATTCTGTGACCATTTGTTTGCTGTGTGCTCTGCAGGTAATAAATCTTCACTATATGGCTGGTACACTTAGGAAAACACATTGAAAAGAAAACATTTGCCTATTTCAGAGGCAAAAGATTGTGGCATTTGTGCATTATGAACTACAAAACTCAAATTGTAAGGAAATGTTGGCTCTTATCATTTCTTTAGAAACTCCAATCTTTCTGCACTGAGAAGGCCAGTCAAATTAGACTTTTATGTTAATAACCACTTTAAGCAAAAACGAAGGTGGTTTTACAGCCATTCACACACAATCTAAGAATCTAAGTGTTTTCATTTTTAAGTGCACATCTCGGCTGAAAATAGTGTGCCAACACTTCTGGGTAAAAGCTTAAAGGAAGTGTCTCCACGGTTACCGGGTGTGGTATCCCCAAGAATAGAGGCTCTGTTTGTGGCAAAGTTTTATTACGGCAGCTTACAGCAAATTAAGCTTGGAACGACGCTGCATTGTCCTGATTGTTATTGGATTTTAACAAGCTGCAGCAGAGACATACTGTAGCTTCTCTGTATAACATAGACATTGTTTTCACACCCCAGATGTCCATGCACAGCCTAAAGTCTGGCATGGCATTTTGATTGATGGGGGGGGGGGAGAATTCTTAGCCTCTTGCAAACATATTCATTCATACCCCCTGAAATTTTGCACATGATGTCGCAAGATGGCCTCTTACACCCATGTCTTGTGTAAGAAGCCAGAAGTCTGTGTAATAAACCAACACAAAGTAGTAATATTAGTTATAGTAATAAAAGAATAACCGCCATCATAATTGTGATGTAAAAGGACAGAGATATATCTAAAATAATTTGATAATATTGGCAACATTTCTTTTCATCCCCCGTTACACTGATGCCACTAAATGCAATGTGATCAGCTGTCTTAAACGGGCATTATTATGTAAAATCAAATTATGTTATAATGTTGTTCCCTTATCAATTGCCTCAATTATTTTTCATTAACCAGGTAAATTCTCAATTTGGCATTTTGAAAATAAATTTAGCTTAATGGAAACGCCAGTTTAAAAAAGTAAAATGAATTTTTGATCAAATGTTTGATCAAATGAGGTGGGTTATTTTGGCTGTATATTGAAATTGGCTTTTTTTTTTACAAAGCTGCAATAGAAACACTTTTTTGCATCACCAAGTCATACATGATCAACAACCAGATGTTGCCACTGATGTAAACAAGAAAGAAGAAGCCAGGAAGTAGCAGGAGGATGATGGCGCAGCTTGTTTATTGATGACTTATCTCGTGAACACACTAATTCACATGTAATTTTAATTGCACTTCTCTTTTAATGGAAACGCCACAATTGCAAAACTGTTTTTTCAACATTAGCGGCATATCTACAAGTTTTACACACTTATGTTAAGGTTCGCCTCTAGTTTTGCTCTTGTTCTCCTTTATAGGTACGTTCCCATCATTTCCATGGGCTTAATCAGTTCATCACACAACACTGTGGCATATTCACTCATCAAAGGCCATGAGGGTCCAGACAATATTATTTGGAGGCAAAGTGTCATTGCGCATCGCTTAAAATCTAATATCCCTCCAAGTACTGCATCCCTTCCAATTAGTATATTAAAACATTGATAATCCACAGCGTCTTCACAGGTCTAACAAATCAAACAGCTGCAGCTGAACCAGAACGCTGCTGCTCGAGTTCTCACTAAAACCAGGAAGATAGAGCACATAACACCAGTTTTTAAAGTCCCTACACTGGCTCCCTGTAGCTCAGAGAATAGACTTTAAAATACTGTTGTTAGTTTATAAATCACTGAACGGTTTAGCACTACAATACCTTAAAGATATGTTATTGCTGTACCAACCGTCTAGACCCCTCAGATCTTCTGGTTCTGGTTCTGCTCTGCATCCCCAGAACCAGAACCAAACGAGGAGAAGCAGCATTCAGTTTCTATGCACCACAAATTTGGAATAAACTTCCAGAAAACTGTAAAACAGCTGAAACACTTGGTGCCTTTAAATCTCAACTTAAAACCCACCTGTTTAGAGTTGCTTATGGCTAAATTAGGGTTAGGGTTTTGATGTCTTCGATGTTTTTAATGTTTTTATCTTTACTTTTTATCTATTTATGTAAAAGTGGCGAGTGATTGAGGGTCATTGCGCGCACAGAAAAACCCTGTAAATTCTAGACTCTAACAGGTAAAAATAGTGCACAAAAATCCGTGTAGGACGACGAAGTCCTAGCGCAAAAATTCGTGATGGGTGGACGGAGCCTGGTGCTGCAAGGTTGGAGACCTTGTCCTGTTAGGCGATGGGGCCTGGTTAATACCCGTGTTAAACGGACGGTGGAGTCCGGCGACGACAGGCGCTTAAATTCTGTAACAAAAGTATGTTTTTATCTTTTTTAATCTTTTTTTTTCAAAATCTCTTTATCTTTCTTACTGTTTATTCAATGTCACATGCTGTTTTTATTTTGTTTTTAATTATGTAAAGCACCTTGAAATGCCTTGATGCTGAAATGTGCTATACAAATAAAATTTGATTGATTGATTGATCCAATGATGACATTGATTTAATAGCTGTGCCGCTCAAGGTGGCATTTAAAAAATTTACTTCCACCCCTGCCCTTTTTCCACCTTGATGTGCGACACTTTGAGCAGTGTTAATTACACAATAATTTGACAAATATTAACCCTCCGACATTTGCTTGTCGTTTACTGTGATTCATTTCCGTCATTTCTCGTTCACATGGTTTTGGCACAGTTTAGCGCTGTGCTGTGGAACACACCGCTATGTCCAGCCCAATAAAACACTATTATGTTTTTAGTTTGATTCCATCAGCCAAATTAAGGCAACCACAGACCCAGGACCCCATTAGTATGCTAATAAAGACTCTCAACTAATGACTGATTTACAATTCAGTTGATTTTTGTCCTCGCTTCGCTTGTATGCACAAATAAGTAAAACGCTCTCCCGCCACACATGTTCATGTTAATAGTTTCCACATTATTTATTTTTTTTGTGCTGTTTATCATCAGAAGCAGCTTACTTCTAGCCCTGCTTTTCTTCCTGTCTTAACCAAATCTACTTTGCATTTGTGTGTGATTAATAAATTGTGTTTGATATCATGAAAATATGAGAATCATTTAAGCCCGGTCAGAGTTTTTACATCTTTTTTTTCTTCCTACTGTCAGCCATTTTGGACCCACTTGTAAGCGAGTCCTTCTCAGTGTGATATTCTGCAAAGCAGAGATTCTGATGCTGATTCTAATGGGTCTCTGTCTCCCGCAGTGCTCAGCGGCCTCTGCTCTAACGCCTGTCCTGAAGATGTCAAGGTGAGAAACCTTTTACTCTACTTTTCTGACATAAAAAGCTCCTGTGTGCCTGGATCATATTGATTTTTAAGAACTTTAAAAAAAAACTTTAGTACGAAGTGCAAAAACACAAAACCTCACCAAGTATTTTTGGTCTTGTTTTTAATGCAAATATCTTAGTGTACTTTAAATAAAACCAAATTTACTCATAAGTAACTTTTCAGCAAGATGCAGCAGCTTGGTTTAAGCCAATAATTCCTTTATATTGATGAAAAAGTTCTAGTTCCACAGGCAGATTATTTCACTTATAATGTGGGGGCAGAAAGTCTGTCATGAGTAAAAAAATCTGCCAGTGGAACAAGTTATTTTTAATTAATATTAAGAAATAATTGACTTAAAACAAGCTCTTATGTGTTGCTGAAAAGCTACCTGGAATTTTTATTTTAAGTGTACTAAGATATTTGCATTAGAAACCAGACCAAAATACTTTGTAAGGTTTTTTGCTTTGGCAGTGTAGAAATAATTTGAACATTCAGTCAGTAAATGTTTTCGATATTGAGCAAAACCAAACTGTCAGTAGATCCGTTTTTTTCTTTATTACGATAAAAGGAACCCAAGTCATCCCATTTGCATATAATAAAAAAATAGTGATTGTCTTTTTGTCCTTAATGCCGCATTTACATAAACCTGTCTGAACAATTACCAAGCTGCTGGCTAGCAACATGGAAGCTAAAGGAGAAGAATGTGAGCAGCAGCCTTGAACAGCAAGCCTTACCTTTTATTAAAGCTCCACATAATTACCCGCTGTTTTTCTCTTCAATATGGCGACAGAGTGTGAGGGATGCAGTAAAATAGCAGAAAGTAGTTTTTTTTTTTGTTTTTTTTTTTTGAAAGAGCCACTGACATATTGACAGCATGTTGGTATATTAGCACTGCAGAGTGAAGCAGTGAGGGATTCTATGAACAAGCTCAGACTGAATCATCCTGATGAAGGAGGGAGGATCAAAACAGCAAGGCTGATTTTTTTTGCAACATTTTAAGATGAAGAAAATCTCCTGATATGTTAAGACCAGAGAAGGGTTTCAAGTTTCTTAAATAAGTTTTAAACAAAATTAAGAAAAGGTTCCTAAAACAAAAATTGTAAAATGGCTTTGCTGTTTTTAAAAATATCAGAAGAACTGAAGCAGAAGACTAAAACAAAATAAGAGAGTAAAATAAGAGTTTTGGGGGGTTTTGTTGTTTTTTTAGCCGTCCTTCTGTGAGTGGTTAAGAACTGTCCAGATAAGAGGAGGCAGTGGCATCGTCCCACTTCACTGTGATGGAGAGCTGTGGTTGCAAACTGTAAATCACTGTGATTTCTAAACACACCTCTGTAAACCAGCATCCAAACACCTTCGTCTTTACGTCAGCGGGTCTGTTTGTAATAACACAACGTTGTTGGATTTTATTTGATAAACAGCAGGAGTTTTTCTTCCTTTTTTTAAAAAAAAAACTCTTGACATTTGAAATGTACTTTGGGATTTGTTTATTAGACTGGGATACTTTGACAGCTGTGATCTCAACTGGGACTTGCAGTGGAGTGGATTTTCTCATAACATCCACATGTTCCTACGACCTCCATCCCCTCCTCCTGTATAGTGGTTAAGGTATCAGAGGCATCATGTTTACATTGATTAAACTGGGATACAAAAAATATGTTTTTGGAAAGTTGTCTGTGTTTTTTCAATTGAATTAGGAGTATTTTGCACAGCTGAATCCACAAATGACATCCATTTTTCTCAGTCAGGTCAGAGTTTTCTTCTTTTTTTGTGACATCATCAGTTCATTTCCGTTCATATTTCTCACCCAAAAAAGGTTGTAGGAGAAAAAAAAAGTTTTCTAACAGTGTATTAATTTCATGTTGGATTTCTGTAAGTTGAATAGTAAACACTCATAAGGGTAAGTACATGTGATCTGAACATTACGTCTTCATTGTGTAAAATCCTCCGTCTCTTTTCTGTCCTGATGGAATCTCTCCTCCTGCTCTTCGCTCATTGATCAGATTCTCAGGAAACCGATCCAGATGTGAGAACAAGTCCTGCATTTTGATGCTCATGTTGCTCCATAGTTCAGAGAGTTGACCTGATTGAGCAAAACCAATGTGATTTTTCTATTCAGCTCATCAACATGACCCTGAAACAGTTGAAAAACTCCAGGCCACTTTTGACTGTTGACCAGTGTTATCTTAGTAATCGATTAGTCTACCAATTGTTCTGGTGATTAATCGATAAATCATTTGCTCATTTGATAAAATATTATAAATACATTAAAAGAAGCAAATAAACAACTAATTACATTCTATTTTTAAACAAAATAATTGTATTTTATTGCCAAAAATGCAATAATATAGAATTACTTTAGTATACATGCATCAGCAGCTAAGAAGATTTGTCTAAAATCAACATGTGAAAAGCTCAGCCCTTTCTGCTTGACTTAGCATTTTTGACTTAGTATTTTTGACTTAGTATTTTTTCAACTAACCAATTAATAATTTGAAATGTGATCGCAGAAGGTGCTCAATTGGAGATTTTTCTTACACAATTCAAACCAAGAGAAACTAAAATTGTGCCTAACGGTTGAACATATTTACAAAGATTGTTGTTTTTTTATCGTAAATGCAAAATATTTATATTTTTGTACAGTTTTGGCTTAATTACTGTCCAGAGTGTGTTGTTGTTTCAGCAAATGGACTTTTTTTGAGTCTGTAAGCTTTAGTTAACAATCGATTTCTAAATTAGTTGACAATCTTTTTGATAACCAATTAATCGTGATTTATCATTTCAATTTGACAAAAAAGAAAAAAACAATCTTGGAAGTGTAGATACCATTAAAAAGCGATCAAATGCTAATGAAGATAATGTGTTGGTTGAAACCTGCTGTTAATATCTGATAGAAATCAACACCCTGAGTTCCTTAGCTTTTGTTTCTTAACTTTCTATTCACTTTACAACTTTAAATGATTACTTTTACTGCTAAATTACATGTTATAATGATATAATAACTATTGCTCAGATTGTCTTCGTTGAAGACGCTCTTATTTTGAGCTTACTTGACACAATATTTAGCAGTAAGAATCATTTTCGATGAACAGTGCTGAATTCTTTGCAGTGAGACACATTGTATTTATTGTGAAAGCACTAATGGCCAATTATCACATGTAGGTGGACAAGCAGGAGAAATAAACAGGTAAAAAAAAAAAAAAAAAAAAAAGCATCCGGCACCGTTCTCCCAAAACCTTTCACTGGTGGAGAAGTCCTTTGCAAAACACATTATCTTTGACATCAACAAGAGGCTGCCGGTTGTTTTGCTCCTCTGTCTGTCGACTCTTCCGCCTGCTTGTCTAAGTGAAAAATATGATGAATGCGATAGACGAGTGGAGCTCGCGGCTGCTTTAACTCCCATCCTCTCCCATCCATCAGCCCCGCTCGCGTCTTTCTCTTCCACTCTCCTACCCCTCTTCTTCTTAGTCACACCTCTCGTCCCCCTTCATGCGTTCAGCCCGCTAGTCTTCTCCTCAGCGCTTTTCTCATCTCTTCCTCTCTTTTCCACTCGTCTGTCTGTTTTGTTTTGTTTTTTTTACCTCATTCCTATTCCTCTCTCACCCAAAGCGCCACCGTGTCACCGCATAAAGGGCCGAGTCTTTCCCGCAGTGTGTCTGCGTGTGTAACGGGCTCGTGATTAGCCGATGTAAAGCGAAGGACAACTCGACGGGTCTCCTCATTCCTTGTCATCCTTTCATAATGAGGAGATGAGACGAGAGCTAACCGTCTACCCCACACAGACACGCAAATGTCATAATTGTTTATAGTCGGGTAGGTTCAAGCCAGCTAAGTCTGGTCTTTTGCGTTTGGACCTGTGATGGTGAGAAGATTGTGTAAAATGTCAGAAATGTTCAGCTTTTTTTTTTTTTTAAATTGTGTGTCTATGTGTGTTTGTTTTAACAGCCGTTTGGTGTGAATCAGCCAGGCCCTTATGTCATGTACACCACAGTGGACTCTAATGGCTACTTGAAAAATGCCTCAGGTGAGCACTTTTCTGTTTTTAGTCGGTATTTTTTAATAGCAGCTCTCACTCCTCGTTTTAAACGGCTCTCCTCAGTGATGGAACATTGGCAAGTAGCATTTATTTTCCTGAAAAATATACCGCCTCAGCTTTTTTTATATCACCGTTAAACTGGTCTCACTGCAAAAACACAAAATCTTACCAAGTAATTTTGGTCTAATTTCGAATGTAAATATCTTAATAAAATACTTATTCCATTGGCAGATTATTTCACTTGTAGCAAGACATTTTTCCCATGTTATAAGTTAAATTATCTAACAATAGAACAAGTACTTTTTCATCAGTATTAAGGAATTATTTACTTAAAACAAGCTTCTGTATCTTGCTGAAAAGTTCATTGTAAATTAGTTTTGTCTTATGTCAAGCGTACTAAGATATTTGCACTAGAAACTGGACCAAAAGTACTTGATAAGATTTTTTGTTTTTGCAGTGAAGTCAAACCAATTTACTGATCAAGACGGGTGAGGCTGGAATTTGGGATTTTTTTTCTTGTATTTGAAACCAGGAGTGTTTTAAACTAGGGCTGTTGTTTGTTGTATCATCAGTCTGTATCTGCAAAAATGGTTCAAATTCTTCACTTAGAGCCCCAAATGAATTGCTTGTGCGCTGATATAAGTGCACATAATGTTCTGTGTGTCAGGGTTTGTCATTATACGCAACACAACACGAGCCTCTGTGTTTGCTGGAATGGTTGATGTTTAATCGCAAACATTGATTCTCGGGTTGTAAAGGATCAGGGATTCTGCTCCCCTGTATATTAACACTTCCTCCGCCTCTGAAGATGACAAACACTTCCACATCCCAGCTACATAAGATGAAATTACTGGAGGACTGAAGGATACGAAGGTAGAGTGAGACAGATGTTGGAGTAGATAAGACACGACGCTGAGGACAGCAGCACATTACACTGACACCGAGGAGCGCCATATTAGCTACACCCAGTCTCGCTGTTAGACTGTGGGAAGGACACAGAGCCGATGAGGACAAGATGCACTGACAGCCCGGGGTCAGAGATATATATAGTCGTGCGCTGCATAATCTCACTCTGTCAGATTTGGTTGTTTCATTTGTCTCTTGGCGCAGCTGGGGTGGATACATATTTAAAGAATGAGTAGATGGATCACAGTTCAACATCATAATTATTTCACTCTCCCTGAGACAGCTACAATCGTCAGGATGCAAAACAGACTTACCTCAGAGGGACTTTTAATTCTTCTACAAACACTAAATATACAGCAGACTGTTTTTTTTTATTTGTAGGTTTTAAATCAGGACAGTTTATTTGCTCTTCAAGGTGTAACATATGCGGTTAACTGGGCACTGACGGCTACAGCGAAGAGGGAGGGGGAGGAGGGTGGGCTTTTACCACCAGCACCCACGCCTACTGCAGTGAAAATGGACAGTAATTCAACATCCCACGGAATGAGGAGGCAGCAGAAAGTCACGGCTAGCTGAAGTTAGGAGTTTCAAAAGGCCGAACTTTGGTGGAGATACGCAGAGGGAACAACTTTAGTGTTTTTTCACTCCGTTAAGCTCTGACCACAGTCTAAGATTCTTAAAGCCGCCTGCAGGGATTTGCTGCCATTCAGTCGCAAAAGCTTTACCGAGGTTGGTCCGTTCGCAGCCGCCATGCCAATTCATCCCCTGGTGTTGGATGTGGTTCAGGTTGTGTGCATGCAAGTCAAGTTATTTCCTGCACCAAGCAGGTATACAATTGTTGTCTAGTGCATAAAGATTTAACCGTGCTGAAGCGAAGGCTTTTCACCAGGTTTTAGTGAGCGCGTAGTAGTTACTGTGAAGATTTTCTTCAGTTTCACTCACTCACTTGCATCAGTGCACAAATCATTTTATTAAGAAGTACTTACACAACACTCACATCAGCACGATGCCTGACTACAGAACACTTGTGCCAGCTGAACTTGTACAGTAATGCATCAAGATAATTGTAATCCATTAGTATAAAATAAAAAAGTACCATATTTGTGCAGATAGATAAGATGTACTACACAGAGTGAGGAGGAGAATTAATTGCGTGCATTAAACCTTTTTGTCTTAAATTAACCCTTTATGTCCTAAATTAACCATTTACGTCCTAAATTTAAAATCTCCGCCTGGATATTATTTTAATTGCACGCAGTTCTTTAAATGTCTTAGTAGTAAACATATTTGCCCATTTATCCATAACAACTGGAACTTTCAATATCTAGCAGTTATTTTCACAATTTAACATCTATTAAAAGAGAAAGTAGTAGCCTTTTCTGAAACACAGATGAACACATGAATTTGGGCAAGGATTTTTTGTGGGAGGAGGAGGTGTGTTTAAACTTAGGAAAACACAATGAAGTGTATCGGCAGCTAGTATCATGGAAGCCAAGAGCGAACGTTTTCCGCATCTGCTTTTCCCCCATGGTTTTCTCGAGATCACAGTATGTGAGTGATGAACCTGATTCCCAGTTGGCCACGTTTGTTTACGCTGAACTCGCGTTTGGTCTTGAGAGGTTTTGCGAGACACCTGAATGTTGGTGAGTGAAATCGGTTAGTGTGTGGTGTGTTGCTCCTGCCTTGTGGCTGAACACCACAGTACGACCAAACCGGTTAATCCTATGATTTTTATCACCGTGTGTGTGGTGTCAAGTTTTGAAAATCAGATGACAATTTTAAAATCCTGCTGTGTGAACCTAAAGGTATCCCTTGGATTCTCTATTTTCACGTTTTTTGTTTTTGCTGGATAGAAACATTAATTTTAAACACCTCTCTGTTTTAAATGCTGTCCATCATGAGAACCACTTGTATAGTTTTTTTTTCTCAGTTTCTAAACAAAGGGCGCAAAGAGAGAAGAGTTGCCAACGGCTTTGCTGGCACAGATCCCAAGACCCCTAATTTAACAGAAAGAAAGTGCGACGAGGGAGCTGTCTTTATGTGTGTGCGTGCGTGCGTGTGTGTGTGCAGTAATTTAAAGTGTATTTATTCTGTAGCTTGTGGGTCAGGAAACAGCTACTGAGAATGCCAGAAATGAGCAATGACAGACTGCGCACACAAACACACACTATAACGTGTGGCTCTTTACTGGGGTCCAGTGTTCTTCACTTACCCTTCACCCTCCTGAAGGGAAAAAAGAGCAGAGAGGAAAGGAGAGACAATAAAACACTCGGAGAAAAAGGCAATAAGAAGTAAAGAAATAGCTGGTATAACAGAAAGGAATGATAGGTAAAGGTTAAGAGTTATAGCATAAAAACAAAAGATAGTGGTAGTCTGATTAAAGTCATTTTAGTCTCACAAAACTTCAGAAAACGCACTGATGGCACAAATCTGCTAATTACCATACCCACATATGCTGGTACATTAAAGATATGCAGAAGTTATAATGTCAACCTTGAACATGCAGCAAAAGGTCAGCAGCAATCCTGTAATACTCTGCATCGTGTCCGTGGCCATGTGCAGTCTTTGTCCGTGAAGTAGAACTCTTTAAATGTGACTCGATTTCTTATGGGCCAACCTGAAAAATCTCCTGTGGGCTTCCATGGGTGAAAAACATCACCTTGGTTATGCACCACAGCTACCTGTGGAAAATGATTCTGTGAAGCTGATTGTTTCAGGAGAACAGAGGTGATGGTGTTGGAGCAATTTGTTATTCACTGCGGTTTTCACTGGGCCGCCATTTTCTTAGTGTTAATTCACACAAGCAAGATTTTTATGCCGATTTATTTTTTTTGTTCCAGTTTTTCCCTTCCGACAAGGATGGATCTGGATGACTAAAGATTATTTTAAGATAAATTCTTGCTGTGCGTGGCGTGTTCAGAGTGATCTGAGGTCGGGGGCACCCCGATCTAAAATCGGGATTATTCATTATGTTTGAGAGTCTTGCCCCGATATGGCGACTTGTGGGTGTGGCCCGAGGTCTGTTGAATGTAATGCGTCGCCAATCAGAAAGCGTGGAAATACGAAGGGAATCCAAAATATACAGAAGACAAAGCACGGTCCATTGTCAGCACAAAGTCCGGTGAATGTTGTAGGAAGTTTAACCTCCCGTTAAATATGCAAACTATTGCCATTGCTCCTTAGTTGGCCATGTTTGTTTACTCTTTTCAGATTTTCCATCAAAAATGTTGGTGAGTGAAAATCAGTTAATGTATGGTGCGTTTCTCCTGCTGTGTGGCTCAACACCACACACAGTACAACCAGACCTGTCCTACCAAGGACAGTTTATCGTCATGTTCTGAAAATTGGCAAACAATTTTTAAAATGTTGTCATGTGAACCAGGCTTTAGGACTTGTTTCAATTATCTCTCTCCACGCTGGCATTGCTGAAATTGAATTCTGAGTAAAAGTGAGTCGTCTGAGCGAACCCCAGCTGTCTCTGATACAAAGATACAATGCTATCACTTTTTAAAGATGAACTCAAAAACAAGCTTGAGGTCTCTTTCTGTTGAAAGAACATATTTCCTTTCCACTGTCGTCACATTCTTGCTCGCTATGGATTACTGCAAGATCATTTACACAAAGCAGCCAACTGGGCTTCCTCAGACTTTACCAAATTAGTATAAAACTCCAAACCTGATTGTCCTGTACGTCACTTCTTGGTTTTCTCCTTAAACTAAGTACCTCACACCTGACATTTGAACCAAAGAGTTGCTTTCTTCCAGGTGATTGCGTGAAATCGCAGCACCACCTCCTGTGTCCATATGTGCTCTGTTTGTCGCAAAGACATTCGCATCTGGGTGTATGCACTTTGTGACTTTCTGACTTTGTGTGTGCAAGCGAGTGTGGATGTGTTTGCTGTACCGTGCCTCTTACTAAGCAGGGTGGATGGATGAGTCTGGACTGTGCTTCTGACAACACCACACCTCATTATCAACAAAATCCTGCTGAGACTCCGAGAGGAGGGGGCTGGAAGACCAGCAGGTGGGATTGTGGAGATGAATAGTTGATGGTATTCATTAAGAACCTTTTTTAATGTTCAC